TACTTCAGAGAACTCTAAAACAATTAAACATAAATTAATAAATAAACATTAAATAAGCAAATAAATATTATTGAATACCTTCTAAATACTCTATATATTTTCAAAAGTTTATGAAATAGTTGTAAGTTCTAACTTATTTAAATTATCATTAGATTCATTACTAGAGTCTACAGTTAATATATATTTACTTACATATCTCGAATAAGAGAAATGTCTTGAAAACGTATGCTGACAAAATTGATATTTGTAATTTATTATAAAAGAATTTGAAAAACTTTAAAATACATAAAATTGACCAATAAAATACTGATTAATTTTAGCCAATCAAAAATTTAATTTATAAGTTTCATAATTTTATCAATATTATTTCAATATTATTTCATTTTTACAGCTATGAAGTAATTTTCGAAAGGTAATGAAAAGTTGCATAAGATCATAATATGACATATATAACTTCTTAGGATTTGTGTTATATAAGGTCTCTAAAGTTCTTTCTTTTTTATTAATATCAAATAAAAGAAAAGAAACATGTAACATGTTTCAATAAATGATTTTAGGTTTAAGCTTTGATGAAAAGGAAAAAGGAAAATAACAAGGAAGTACTTCAAAGTTCTCCAAAAAGCCCAGAGTACTTCCAGTACCCTAGGTCAAGCTAAAGAATAAAGAACAATACCTCAAGCCAAAATAAAAACAGAGCTATCTTGAAAGTGATTAAGATCTTTCAGTTATATTCTAGAATCTTCATCTACTAGAAGATTGCTCAAAGAATCTTTAGATATATTAAAAAGATGTAACTATTTAAATAAATACTAATTTGTATATTTAGTTTTTAATATATTAATCGAGAGACTTTTGGAGTCTTACAAAAGTCTTTATAAGAAAATTGATTGGTTATTAGAATATTAAAAAGCTATTGAGGATAAAGTTACCTGTCTAGAAAATGAAATTCACACAAGTTAACATTTAATCATCAAACAGGATTTTATTTAAGTAAGGTTTAATTTTTAATCTTCAAAGAATTTCAATAATATTTTGGATTCTATAATAGTATGCAGTTAAGAGTATTATGAAATAAGTCTTTTTTGAAAAAATATATATGGATTCCAAAGATTTTTGCTAGCATACAGAGGAATATTTTCAGTAAGAATATTCAGAATTCTTTGAAGGCCTCACAAGAAAATATTGGAGGATATATTATAAAAAATATATTCAACAAGCAATAATTATTGCAGTTAAATAAATTTATTAACAATATTATTTATTTAATAGCTTGTGAGACAATACGGATCATTTCGAGGAACCACGGCTTCAAAAATCTGGGATGTTATATTTTTAGTCTTCGGTAAAAACTCCCTGGATACAATCAATACAAATGCAATCGCTACCAAAATTATGGTTTAAAAAAATTGTGAAAAACCTGGAAGTGCTTCAAAAATCTTTATGTCTATCCTAAGAGAGAAAACCAAAGCATGATGATATACATTCTCAAAAAAGTGCGATCAAAAGGGAATGCCTCTGAGAAACAAATTGCAATATGTCAAATGATTCTAAATCTGAGTAATAAAAATATTTTAATTAATAAAACATTAATTAAAAGCAAAATAAAAAAAAATAAAGTAAGTTTTAAAATACTTCAAAGTATTATAGAGTTATTTGTTTACTAATAATATATTTTAGGAAAAAATTAAAAAGAAAATTAGATTTACAGAAGGAAATTTAAGCAATTAAGATCAAGAAATACATGAGCAGGAGGATATTGAAAATTAAAGTATTTCGGAAGAAGTAGAAAATGTTGAAAATAATCAAGGATTGTAACCAGAAAATGTAGAAATAGAAAGGTCTACTTTAGCAATGAGTGATATAAATGTAAATAATTAATAAAAATATGTAAAAAAAGTAATTTTCAATAAAAATTTTTTTAAAAATAAATATTTTAATAATAATATGAAATTATTTTATTAAAATTTAAAATATTCAAAAATTTCTAGAGTTCTATATACTGTATAAATCTCTGCTCCAGAGACTTCTAATGATGATGGAGCACTTTTAGAGTTTTATATCCAAAAATCTCTAGAGATCTTTGTCAAAAAAATTTCTGATGTAGTGATCTGAAAAGACTCTACTATGCACTTTCTTTATTAAGAGCAAAAAGATTCTAGGAAGTAAAAGAACTGACAAGTAAAGTATCACTTTACAGAGCTAGAGATGATAAGAAATAAAAATTTTGTTAATAAAGGAAGACTTATTATTTATCTTCTCATATATTGTCTTATATTCTCTTAAAGTATTTACTATTTATCACAGTTTTCTTGAGAGATTTTATCTATTTCAGTTTGATGTTAAATTTCTAGTGGCACAATATTATATAGAATCTGATTGGTTGACACTAAACATATTAGTAGTTAAATATAAATAAGTTTCTACTAATTATCTCACATGTTTTAATTATGTTATTAGTGATTGAAAGAGTTAATTGATATCCCATATCTGTCCCATTCCTCCAATTAAGTTAATCTATAGATTAAGTTTCATGAGATCAATAAGATATGAGCAACAAGTTTCTAAGTGATGAAAAAGCTGTTGTTTATTCAAGCTGGAATCTTTCTCTTATATTATCACAGGCAGATAAAGTTCAAGACCAAGATCTTCTTTTTATTCTGATCAAGTAATAAAATTAAATAGTTCTAGTTTATACTAAGCTTCAACTCTTTGATTATAGTTGAGAATGTATTTTTCTAGAAGTTGTTGAAGAATATCACAATTAATGATGATTCCTATCACTTTCAAGATCCTTCCACTATTATAAGGCAAAAGAATTATTGAGTAATTTGGCCTTTTGGGTAATAGAAAATATATATCAATAAAATTTCTTTAATTAAGTATGGCTGCTAGAAGGTATTATACTGAAACAATATGCCCAATTCTTATTAAGTTATATAAAAACCTGAAGTCTATTATAAGTCACCTCTCTATCACAAGTAAATAAAAAATCATTGCTCCAAGAAAGTTGAGATCAAGTGTGCCTGAAAGTAAAGGTAATATTTTATAAAAAGATATATAATATCTAATATTATATAGAAATATCTAGTATTAATAATAATCAAGTAAAATAAAAACTTGAAATGACCTGTGGATCAATGGTGCAGTGGTAATGCTCCCAGATCACCAAGTACTGTTTCTAAGTTCACTACCACTGCAAGGCAGTACCACCTAAACCTAAGTAATACTGAAAGATCTCATTTAACTCATGATAATGATCAACACTACTTAAGGTCAAGATTTAGTCTGATCATGGAATAACCAAAGATCACAAAATACTTTAGCCAGTTTTAGTACTGAAGCCACCTTGCCATATATAACAGGTTTCACAAGCTCCTGCAGATAGGTTAAAGATCTGCTAGCTATAAAACTGAGTACTAACAGACTTAGACACATTAGTTAGAGAAGGGTCTCTACTAAATTGAGATCTATCTAAGATTTCACGTGATCTCTCTATAGGCAGGCCATAATTGGTCATTTAAAAGAGTTTTCAGTGGGATAAGATGACATCAAAGACTCTATACAGGTACTCTATAGGCATACTATAATAAGTATTGTAAAAGAAATACTAAGCGAGATAAGATATAAAAGGGATCCTATACCTCAACCTGGTGAAAAGCTGGGAAGGGAGGTACAGACATAGAAAGGGTATAGTATGGCTTCTTTCAATAACAATCCATATAGGTATTGACGATGACTGTAATGGTTACTTGACTATAACAGTTACTTGTCATAAAAATGAATTTATCACTTAATTTGTAAGATTATAAGGAAAAAGTAAATGTAAGTTGGATAGATTTCAGAGTATAGTACTATACAATTTGTATTCACTATTACATGGTAGTTTTATAGTAATAAGCTGATTTTGTTTACCTTAAAAAATTTTTTTGAACTATAGGTTTAATTAATTTAATAATAAATAATGAACTTTAATTATAAAATTCTAAGTTCTCAATTACTAAAACTTTAATTATTTTTTTTATTAATATATATATTATATTATATATTTTTTTTAATCCATAGTCAAGTCGATATAGCTTGTTCATTTTATTGTAAACATATTTGGTATTTATATATTTTATGACTTTCACATATTGACTCACCTATTTATAAAGATTAACCTTCTCTAGATACAACTTAGAAAATGATATTTCACTTCCTTTATGGCTTGGATTATTTTCTAGTCACTCAGATTATTGTCTATAGCTTATTATTGTAGATCTTTCAAAGTTCTAATGTGATTAAAAACCAAACCATTTAAAACCTTTGAATATTCAACTATTTATTATAACTATTATATTATATTGAGACTTCATTTATTCTGTCTTCTTCTTTTTTTGTTATATTTCGGAAGGAAGAATAGAGATGAGATTGACTTCTTTAGGAACTCAATCCATTTTTCTAGTTATATCAACTGATACTCTAAACCTTTTAAGTTTACTGATAATTTCTTGATTTTCTTTCCATTTGATAGTAATACTACAGTGCTTGTTTCAAACTTTCTTCTTGAAGATCTTCCTCATTTTTTTTACAAAATTTACCAATAGTCTCTTGTGTTATTGTTACTGGGATCTTGAAAACTTTGATATGCTTTTCTAGGATCTTGGTCTTATCTCTATGTATAAAGCTACAAATTGTGTTATATAAGCTTTCATTCTATTGTTTAATATCCTGGATCTATTTTTCTATTACTCTTTTAACTTCTGCTTGACTCTTATCAAATAGATCTTTTGTTTTCCAATATATTAAAAGATTTTACTTTGAAATTTGTCCCATATAATTGATCTTTTGCTTTGGGTCTTAAAACATTCAAAGAGATATTTTAGGGTTTTCTTTTGTGATTTGTATATTGGACATATTATATTTGAATATAAGTCTGGTTTTCTTATCTATATTAATTGAAGAGTAGGAAACTTATTATGGATTAGATTTATTGGAAAACTCTTTTTCTTGTTGATGTTAAAGAACATGTAAAAGGTATTATATGAATTGAATTGTCTTCAGAAAATTTGCCAATTAATTTCTTTACTAGGGTATATCTATTGATCTTAAATATACTGTATTTTTGCTCAGTCCAAGATAGTCCTATTTTCTTTGTGTTTCATTTTTTAAGAAAATCTTTAATACTGATATCAATAGTATATTTCTTTCAGGCTACTATTGTGAGAACTTGACTCAAATTAAATGTTTATTGTTAAATTAAAGAGTTTTCTCTTTTGGCCTACTTTGCTAATATATTTGCTATATTATTGAATTTATTGTCTTGATGGATTATGATTTTTTCAAATATAAGATAAAGGCTTTTCTTTTGTACTAGGTCCTTGATTTAGTTCTATAGTGGCCAGTTGATCATTTTAATCCATTTCCTTATAGAAATAAATTTTGTGACTGGATTGTCTTCATATCTTGATAGCTACACTACAATTTGTATATATGGTTGCTTTTCCATTTTCAGATATTGTAAAGATTGCAATAGGTATGGCTAGAATTTTTGCTCTTGTAGCCAATAACCATAATATTGCTCTTGTTTTTGTATATAAAATAGCTCTAAAAAGAATAATAGAAAAAAACAATTCAAGATAATTATAAATTCAGTCTGAACAATAAAGTAAGTCAAGTAAATATAAAGAATTAAGAAGAACAAATCATTAGAAGTAATATAAAAGAAGACCATATCAAAATTATCTAATCAAAATACTTCAACATAATTAATAATCTAAAAAAACATTGATCTTTTACTTTGATAGATCTTTTATTGATCATGAAAATAAAAAAGTAAGATAGAAACAACATAAGTACAAGTAGAAAGAGAGGATAGAGAAAGTAAGTTCCAAATGAAAGCAGGTAACTGGCCACTATCCATTAGAGCAAAACTAGTAGCAATAGTTACAATATTACTAGTTATTACAATAAATAATAAGGTCAAGATTTTTATAGATAGACAAGTCTATATTGTTAAATAAAAAATAATAAAGAAAAAAGATTCCAAAAGAACTTATAAAAAATGTTTTAAGGAAAAAAACTGGTTCCTGTGGATAAAGATAGATTCCTAAAGAGGAAGGCAAAAACAAAAATCAAATATCACTCACTAGAAAATATTAAAATTTTTAAATTAACAACTATAAAAAAACTATCCATAATTATTCTCTATTATCAAAATTATTGATTTATAGTATTTCTTGACTTTTGTCTCTATTAAAATAAAAAGCTATAAATTTTGTCCCTTAAAAAGGGACATAAGTGATCTGTAAAATTTTATATGCTAAATACTTTAGGGACCTATCATTACATGTGGATAAAGATAAGTTCTTAAAAAAGGAGGTAAGGACAAAAGTCAAATATTCCTTACTAGAAAACATTAAAATTATTAAATTAATAACTATAAAAAAACTATCTACAATTGTTTTTCATTATCTAAATTATTGATTTATAGCATTTCCCGACTTTTGTCTCTATTAAAGTGAAGAGCTATAAATTTTGATTCTCAAAAAGGAATATAAGTGATTTGTGAAATTTTATATGCTAAATACTTTAGAGACCTATCATTCTCTGTGTATAAGAATGTTAAATATTGTTAAAAAAATAGTTAGATCTAAAACTAGTCAAGATTAAAATACACTCTAATGACTCATATAATAAAGAAGTAAATACTTTAGCAAAGAAAGTCTTGTGGCTTCTTATAATTAAATAAAAAAACCTTACTTTATCCAAAATTATTGCTAAAATCAAGGGATATAAAATAACTTTAAATAATCCTATAAGACAGTCTATTAAAAACATAAATAGCAAAGTTGCAGCTCATTAATAAATAAAACAAAACAGTATTTTGAATAAATAGAATTGACAAATTCAAGATCAATAAGACTATACATAAAATTTGGTATAGAAAAGAATTAAAAATGGGTATACTTGAGACACTTCTTTTAAAGATTTCCAAGAAAGAAGTTTCTTTATTAAATTAATCAATAAAAAGTTATCAATTCTTCTTAAACTGGTTATAAGAAGACCAAAGATATATAAACAAGTAAAGTATTTAATATGCAAAAAAAATTTTTTAAAAAATGCTGGCTCAGCCTTGCTTTATTTATAGTTATGTAATATCAATACATAGAGGCTATTCTAGAATGTACTACCTGTTTACTACCAAATAGAGTTCAATAGAATTCCTCTATACAGAGGTACTTACCTTATGGCTTGTTGCCACCCCTGAGGTAGGGAGCTAACCTGTTAAGGCTAAACTAGTGCTGAAAGAAATTTCAAATATGAATAAGTTGTCTATAAGGTTTGTGATCCATTGGTTTATAAACTCATTGATCAAGTGTACAAATTGGTCTTTTATGTATTTTTCCCTAGCTGTAAAGATGAGATCTTCTTTTCTTGTTTCGTATTTTACTGACTTTTCTTTTTGTTTGATAATTCTCTCTCTATTTTTTCACTCTGGAAAGGATTCACATCTTCTTTTCCAAATTTGATATAGATATTTAATTATTTCAAGGCGAATCTCTATTATGCAGTTTTTTTTTTCTATTCTATCTGAAATGATTGTCTTAAGACTATACTGTATGTAAGTCCTTTGAAAAGAGCTACTTTAATGTTTACTATTAAGTATTCCTTGAAGTTCAAGTTGTTTTTGTTTATAAAATGTGTATTGAAGACTTGAAATTTTTTATCATCTGTGTGATTTTCTATACAGGTTGTAGTTATATCCTTCAAAGCCTTTTCTGTTTCTACTTTGAATTATTGGCAGAGGAAAGAATGAATACAGGTCTCTGATTCTCGCATTTGTTACATTTATTATTTTTATAGATGAATGGAAGCCTTGTATGTAGCTTGCTCTTAGTTGATAATTCATTATTCCAAAGGCTGAGACAGAACTTTCTTAGTTTCTGATCTTCATTATTTGTATAGTAATTGCTCATTTTTGTAGATTGAAGATATATTACTGTTGTTTGCCAATTAATTTCTTTAATTATTCATTCACTAATATTGCATCTAGTTCTGTTCAGGAAGCACTATTTTGCCAGATGGATAGTGTTTGTGAGTTTCTGTATGATTAATTTTATAGGAAATTTGGTGAAGTGGTTGTTCTATTGTAGAACTATGCTCATTTCTGGGACTTTGATCCTCTTGATTTTGATTTCATTTTCTCCTGGTTTCATGACTTTCCATGTATCTATCTGTGCCAACTAATCTGCCATCTCATTATATTTGATTCCAGAGTGACCTTTCACCTTGTATAGCAAGAGTTTGATTTTTTTCTGTTTGCATAGGATTTTGATCTGAAGTAGGAGATTCGAATTCTTTTGTTTCTTTATAATCTTGTTTTTGTCTTTCTTCTAGATCTTTTCTATACCATTAATAGCTGCTTGGCTATCAGTGCACACATTTGCTACACTGTGTTCTAGTAGTATGCTTAGAGCCATTACAATTGCTACTATCTTTACTTTGGTAGATAAAGGATATTGTTTGACCAGTCCTTGAAATGTGTGTTCTTCTGAGTCTGAAGTAATTATAACCCAGCTCAGGCCTATATAGTATTTGCCTTTCAAGTTTATAAGGGATCCATCTGTATAAATATCGAAAATAGCAAAATTCTTTATTTTTTTCCTAAACTTCTCTATTCTTTCTATATTTCCTGTGAGCTGTTAAAAATTTTATTTCTTTGTCTACTTTTTGTTTGTACTTCTGATGATATTCTGACTATTATGTCCATGTCTTGTGTATATGACTCCAATATCAGGGTGTACTTTGTAAAGGTTATAGCAAGAAAATTTGAGGATATTCTGTTTCTCCATTTATACTTCTTTATATCTGTATTGTTTTCTCTTGTGAATATTAGGCTCTTTTAAATAGATATGATGATTAAATATTATCGAGTTGTTGTGAAGCTGCATTTATCTCTATTGATATCAAAAGTGTTTAGTGTGCAGCCTTTGCATGTCTCCAGTGAAGAGTTGTTTAAGTATTGAGTATAGTGTTTATACCTTGATGTATTTTGGTCTATTTTTTTTTATTTTTTCTCAATTATTAATTTTCCCTCTTTCTGTGTGTAAATCCAGTGAGTTTTTTTTGTATAATGGTATATTGTGTAGAACTCTTATTTTAAGACAATGGCTGTTGCTTGGTATGTTGGATTTTTCTTCACTTCTAACATTCTTTGTATTTTGCTGCTTAGGGTTATGAATTATCTGGAAGTTGGACCTAAAAATGTTTTCCTTGTGATTCTTATGATTTGCACCATTTTAATGTCTTTTTGCTATCTGCATTTAAAAGCTGTCTAATGAAAAGTATGTTGTGTTTGTGTAAATGGTGTCAGTATTTAGAGTAGAATTGTTTGCTCATGATCTGTAACAAGTTTACCTAAGTCACCCAATGAAAACATGACTTTACACCTGAAAGTCAGATGACAACTGCTAAAACGGTCTTAGGAAACTATGGGTATTTTGATG